TCTGACTGGGGTGGAGTGAGCGCAAGGACCAAAAAATGCATTGACAGGCATCATACTTTGCTTTGGGTTCAAGCCGCAGGTACTTTTAGAACCTAAAAATATCCCTGGACTATTAAAGGACCACTCTAGGCATCCAGACCACTTCAGCTTAATGAAGTGGTCTGGGTGCCTGGTCCAGCTAGGGTTAACCCATTTTTTAATAAACATAGCAGTTTCAGAGAAACTGCTATGTTTATAAATAGGTTAATCCAGCCTCTAAAGCCTCTAGTGGCTGTCTCATTGACAGCCGCTAGAGGCGTTTGCGTGCTTCTCACTGTGAAAATCACAGTGAGAACATGCAAGCGTCCATAGAAAAGCATTATGAATGCTTTCCTATGAGACTGGCTGAATGTGCGCGCAGCTCCTGCCTCGCATGCGTATTCAGCCAAAGAGGAGGAGAAGAGGCGGAGAGGAGGAGGAGAGCTCCCCGCCGGGCGCTGGATAAAGGTAAGATTTTAACCCCTTCCTCTGCCCAGAGCCCAACGGGGGGAGGGGGAGGGGGGGTCCCTGAGGGTGGGGGCACCCTCAGGGCACTATAGTGCCAGGAAAACGAGTATGTTTTCCTGGCACTATAGTGGTCCTTTAATGGGTTCATTTGACTCACATACAAGTAGTCGAATTAGCAAACTACCAGCAGGAGGCAGTGCAATGCAAAAATAATATGGAAGCAAATCTTCTACAGCATTAGAGCTAAGCTTGATGCTGCAGATGTTTGTATGCTGCATTTCACTGCATTGCCGGCTTAGTCCGTCACCTTTAGGACCAGACTATAGAGCAGTAACGGCTAGTAGGCACTTGTGAAACGCATTGTGAAATGAACTGCGTTTTGCAAGCCAACCGACAAGGAAAATAATTTCACAAGGGTCCTCACTGCCAAGCTTACTCACTGAAGGTTATTCAGTAAACTGTGAATTTTCAGGAGTCCATAGTGAATTCAAAGTGAAATTCTAATTTTAGGCCACTTATAACAAAATAGGAAAAAATCTATTAAGTCAGGTCGGTTTACAATTCAGCTAAATTGGCCTAGAATTTAAACCTTAATTAGAATAGCAGACAATTTTCATTTGAATCAATAACCATGATCATTGTTCTAGATGCGGGGGTAGGTAACCTTCGGTACTCCAGATGTTTTGGACTACATCCCCCACAATGCTCTTACAGCCATTATACTGGCAAAGCATCGTGGGAGATGTAGTCCACAAACATCTGGAGTGTCAAAGGTTGCCTACACCTGTTCTAGAGCATAGAATGTCCAAAAGCTGTCCATACCTCCCAACATTTAGAATGGACAAAGAGGGACGCATTCATTTTAGCGGTGTGAGTTGGGCCAGAGGTCGGACTATTCTTAGAAATTCTAGGTGACTTACTAATAACAATTTATGCAGCTAAAAAGAATTAAGAACAATGTAAGATATTGTAAAGCAATACGGAATCTGTTGGCGCTATATACATGGAGATAATAATAACATGATATTTACACAGACTGATATCTAAACACATTTATTGTAGTTTAAATACGCACTTTTTACTTTTATTGCTAAAACATTTTGCAAAATGTTAAAAATAGGACATGCCCTTCACACACAAAACTTTTCCGCAAGCTAAAGAGCTTTGGGGGGCTGGAGTTTCTCTTTAAGTATTTGACACCTTTGCATAAAAAATGTATTCAGAAACAAACAAGCAAAAAAAACATGTTGACTATCACTACATGGAACAAACAATATTTAGCAATATCACTCATTAAATGTTTACGAGCAAACTGTGGGTCATTAAGAGTACATGAGTGGTGTCTCCCTAGGGCATTCATCCTTGACATTATCTCAGCGGTCAGAAAGCTGTGAAAGTATCTGCTGATTTTATGGCCACCTTTCATTCCGATCGTTAACAGATAAGTAAGCTGATTTTTCCGATAAAGCATTTTTTCTTCCCTATCAGCGTAATGCCTATTTAATGTTTAACACCATGATTACACTCAAGTGTAGCAAAGGGGACCTGACAGTTGGAACATGTCAGAACAGCTTGTTACAGGATCACAATGCGTTCTAAATTAGTACGGCTATTTACTTTAGAATTGCCGGGAATTACGAGTGAATTTTAAATTTAAGGCCAAGTAGCTGAATTGAACTCATAGGTTACTTGAAGAATGTTTCTATTTAAATTTGAAATTCACTTTGACCTCACGTTAAATACCTTACAATTTTAATTTTAGTGAATGTAACGCTGTTGAATTTTTAACCCTGAAGTAATCAGACACCAACTTTTCACTGTGCATCATCAGCTACAGTTGGAGATGACTATTTAAAGGGACCCTATAGTCATCAGAACAACTACAGCTTATTACAGGCATAGGCAAACTTCGGCACTCCAGATGTTTTGGACTACACATCCCATGATGCTTTGCAAGCATTATGAGTGTAAGAACATTATGGGGGATGTAGTGCTCAACATCTGGAGTGCTGAAGGTTTACTAACCCTGGCTTATTGTATTTGTTCTGGTGAGTAGAATTGTTCCCTTCAGCCTTTTTGCAGTAAACACTGTCTTTTCAGAGAAAATGCAGTGTTTAAATTACAGCATATTGATAACTCCACTGGCCACTCATTTGATGGCTGCTAAAGGTGCTTCCTGGGGCAGTGCTGCACACTGTGCAGCACTGCCAGTCACTGTATTCACCCTTTGCAAGCAGATACTGAACTTTTCTCATAGAGATACATTGGATCAATTCACCTCTATGAGGAGATGCCAGGGCTATGTTTGGCTTGTGCTGGCTCTGCCCCGATGTGCCTTTCTTGACAGTCTTAGTCAATCCTATGGGGAAGCATTGTGATTGGCTCAGAACAACACTTCTGATTATGTCAGCCAAGCAGGCAGATCAGGGGCAGAGCCAGCGCAGCAGACTAAAGTAAAGGTAAGATTATATTATATTTAGGAAGGGCAAGGGAGGCAAAGGGGGCTAGCTGTTGGTTTTAACACTATAGGGTCAGAAATATATGTTTGAGTTCCTGACCCTATAGTGCTCTTTTAAGTCTGAATTTTGCCAGTTGGAGTTGTTTGCTGCAATTTTGAGTTTAGTGAATAAGCACCTTGATCATTTAAAAAATATTTATTAAGTTTATCCCTTAAAGACCAAATGTTAGACATTACTGTCATCACAATCTGATCTCCAAAGATCACATACAAACTTTTCCAAGTTAATTCTGTGTTTAGTTTAGCTATTTTGGTGTTGAATTTTAAATTCACATTGAATTCCCAGCAAACCTCACTTCAGAGAACTTAGGCGATTGTGAATTAAAAGATAAAATACTCTTTAAATTTATAATTATAATAATTCCCTACTATTCACACGGCAATGAATAACTATGTCAATGTGTAAACTGGCCAAACACTCCTTTGCATGTCCTCCTCCTCTTTTACTTTGAAATCTGCTATATAGCACCTACTGCTTTAGTTTATAAATGTATGGGTACATTTCTAAACTAATAACGCATCCAAAAATATGATTTTAAGATGAATTTGTCCACTAAAGGGGCTCTACTAGTTAAGTTGTGTAGAGTACCCAGGTGCCATCTCCTTGGTGTAGAGTACCCAGGTGCCATCTCCTTGGCTTCCTCCAAGCATCATACAGTCCTCTGTAGTGGTTATGGTGCCAGGAATCCCTGATGCCGTTGAGGCAGTTGCAGAAGCCAAATCCCTGATCCCGCCAATAATTCACTGGCAGAGAGCATCAGCTGATGAGGCAGCAGTGTTTGAACTGGCTTTAACTCGTGTGTATGGAAAATTACACCCTACAGACCATTGACTTCAAGCCAATTATAAAACAATTCTCTGCAAAGAAATATTACAAATATTTGTGTTGAACACTTGATTAATAATAAATAATTTATAGCCATTTCGTAATGTGCCATCTCTGTCTGTATAATTTACCAGACTGAGTACAATTTTGTATGTGGAATTTCTTGTTTTTTAACTTTAAGGCTCATATTATATTATTAAAACATTTGTGTGGACTAATTTCTATTGCACAGCACATTTTTAATGTTTAATTTTGTTGAAGGTACCAATAACTATAACCTTAATTTTATTGATAAGTTACATCTTGAGTGGTTATGTAGACAGAGCCCCAGTGCACTGCTTTGCATGTGGGTCTATAATGCTGTTAAGACGGCCCAGGCTATGGGCAATTAAGTCTAGTTCCACTGAGCTAACCCAACAAGAAAATAACAGGACAGTTGTTTAACTGACAGCCAGAGGGTGTAACGAGGTTAATTAATAAAAGTGCTAATTTCTATTGAAATCAATTATTTTTGTAAAATGAAAAAAAGAGGATGTACTCTTTACACATGAAGTGCTTTAGTGTGAGTACTTCTGGGCTCTGCAGTGTCACTTTAACCTGTCCTCTAATTGTACATCAACACTTAGGCTAGACTGACTCAGTAAGAAAATTATCTTTTAATTAATCAATATTGGAAAACTTTCAACCCAGTACACTGTTTAATAAATAAAACTCCAACAATAAAAATAAAATAATAATCATAATAATATTAAAAAAATAAAGAAATAAAAATAGTAAAAATAATAAAATAATAATCATAATAATAATAACAAAATAATAATAATAAAAATAAAATAATAAAAATAATAAAAACAACAAAATAATAATAAAAATAAAATAATAAGGAAAATAAAATAATAATAAAAATAATAAAATTAACAAAATAATAATGAAAATAAAATAATAATATAAATAATAATAACAACAAAATAATGAAAATAAAATAATAAAGAAAATAAAATTAATAATCATGATAATAATAATAAAATAAAAATAATAAGAAATATAATAATAATAATAAACCTCCATCACACTGTGTTATCCAATGCACAGTGCTCTCTCCCTATGGACAGAGAATTCAATGAAGATCATAATAATAATACTACACACGTGCTCTCCCTCACAACTGACAGCACGCTGACCACGCCCATTCGTCTAGAAGCCACGCCCACTAACTTAGGCTGAACACACACTCAGTGCCTGTGGGAACCCAGGACCGGTCCCCGCCCCCTTGTAGCTGTCAGTTAGCTCCTCCCTCGGGGGGAGGGTTCTCGCCGCTGATTGGCCCGCCCGCGATGTCGCTCAGCAGACGCCGCTCGAGCGCACTGGTTCACCTCAGGACTCGGCGGTTGGCTCCTGTCAGTTCCCAGGCGGGTGTCGGGCTATGCGGGGACCGGCGGCTCCGAGAGACGGGATGAAGGCAGCAGGACGTGACTGGGTGTGAAGCCAATTCCCCTATCCCTAGCGCTGTCTCCTTAACACCCCCTCCCGCCCGGAACAAAGATGGCGGGCAGTGCCACCCCGCTGCCCACTCTCAACATGGCGGCGCGCGGTCACGGCCCGGTGCTGCTGGCCGTGCTGCTGGCGCTGCTGAGCGGCTCCCCGTCCCGGGCCCAGGAGATCGGCGACGAGACGGTGATCATCGGCCTGCGGCTGGAGGATACCAACGAGGTGTCGGCCATGGAGAGCGGCGCCCTGCGGGTCAGCGAGAGGACCATGGTGAAACTGCGGGTCTACGGCCAGAACATCAACAACGAGACCTGGAGCAAGATCGCCTTCACCGAGCACGAGCGGGCCAGGGAGGACAGCCCCCCCCCGGCCGGCGGGGGGAGCTCGCAGCCCTGCGGCATCCGCACCTCGGACATCATCATCCGGCCCCCCATGGTGCTCAGCCGCAGCAGCTCGGGCATCGTGGAGATCGAGATCAAACCCCTCAGGAAGACCGAGAAGAGCAAGTCCTACTACCTGTGCACCTCCATCTCCACCCCCGGGGGGGCCGCCAGCCCTGGGGGCCACCAGCCATGGACTGAGACCACCTGGATCTACCATGATGGAGAGGACACCAAGGTGATCGTGGTGGAGGAGAAGAAGTTCCTGCTGCCCTTCTGGCTGCAGGTCATCTTCATAGCCCTCCTGCTCTGCCTGTCTGGCATGTTCAGTGGGCTCAACCTGGGACTCATGGCTCTGGACCCCATGGAGCTCAGGATAGTCCAGAACTGTGGCACAGAGAAGGAGAAGAACTATGCCAAGAGGATAGAGCCGGTGAGGAGGCAGGGAAACTACCTGCTCTGCTCATTGCTGCTGGGCAACGTGTTGGTCAACACTACCCTCACCATCCTTCTAGATGACATTGCTGGATCTGGGCTGGTGGCAGTGGTGGTGTCCACCATAGGCATAGTCATCTTTGGGGAGATTGTGCCCCAGGCTATCTGCTCAAGGCATGGATTGGCTGTTGGAGCCAACACCATCTTCTTGACCAAGTTCTTCATGATGATGACCTTCCCTGCTTCCTACCCCGTGAGCAAACTCTTGGACTGTGTGTTGGGGCAGGAGATTGGCACTGTCTACAACAGGGAGAAACTTCTTGAGATGCTGAGGGTCACGGATCCATACAATGACCTGGTCAAGGAAGAACTCAATATCATCCAGGGAGCTCTGGAGCTAAGGACCAAGACGGTGGAGGATGTCATGACTCCACTCAGAGACTGCTTTATGATGGCTGGAGATGCCATCCTGGACTTTAACACCATGTCAGAGATCATGGAGAGTGGTTACACCAGGATTCCTGTTTATGAAGGGGAGAGGTCCAATATAGTTGATCTGCTCTTTGTCAAGGACCTGGCCTTCGTGGACCCTGATGACTGCACCCCACTCAAAACCATCACCAAGTTCTACAACCACCCCCTGCACTTTGTGTTTAATGACACCAAGTTAGATGCCATGCTGGAGGAGTTTAAAAAAGGTGGGATCTTTGCTCTTTAAATCGTCTCAGCTGCTTCTATAGGTGCAGTAAATGGAGAGCTAGTGGGGAGGGAGGGACAGGGACCAGACAGGCTATGCCAGTCACTCACAGGTACCTTGACAGCATTATTTACTTGATCTCCATACAGGTACTGTGTCATAAAGCTTTAGTGGGTCGGATCTCAGGCCATCACTGGGCTCCATAATAGCAAAGAGATTTAAATGTTTAAAAATGAATTTATTTTGAGAATTTCAGAGCATCAGCTGCAGCCTTTTACTCTTACTCTGTCTGTGTATGCGTGCCTTTCAATGTGTGCTCCAATGAAAAGTTGAATACATAAGTTATGTACAGCTTTGCAATACTTTGCTAATGTGCAGGAGTAGAATCACTGTTTTGACATGACAACTTTAATAATATATATATCTCTCACACCACATTGATCTGATTAGGTTAATGGGTTAGGAGCACTGGTTCCCAGTGACATACCAGATTTTTAAAATTTAAATGTTTTTCCTGTTTAGCAATAACATCTGCAACTTGCCACATCCATGCATTTGTCATAAAAATACATCTTGCACATGTATGTTTTATACAGTTTCTCTTTTCCCTACAGAAGTATAGCCAGGTCCTATCATAGTTGTACTGGATTGTTTTGTGACACTATTTTGGGTTTGCCTGCGAAGTGAGCATATTCCTTGATCAGTGAGGGCCTTTGACACCTTTATAAGGATGGTGTCCAAAGATGTCTAATCAAAATGGAGAACACACAGCTTAAAATAATATACAGGTGCATAAGGTGGGTGACCAGTCCAGCTGACAATGACCCCTCCAAGTGGTATAACTGATCCTCCTAGATTAGGCTGATGGATCCGGTTGGATAGGATTGTTGTTTTTCGAAATATAAATTGGATCCTGCTTATTTGAAAAATACATGTATCTAACCCTGTTTCTTCAACAAGCTCCTTGAATTCTCTGTGTCCAATTGTGAGTTTAAGAAATGATCATAGATCTGGCTTTATTTTTTTTAAAAATAATGGATTACATAGGTGCTGTCTATGAAAAATGTTACAGATCAAGTCATATAGCTACACATGTGAAAGATTTGGGGGGCGTGGGGGATGTTTTTTTTATGAAATAAGAAGCTTAGTGTGAAAACAGTTTATAGATCTGACTTTTACCCAGTGTGTAAAGATTGTAGCTTAGCCATGCAAGTCCATGCTGAACATCAGATCTAAGCGCACATTGTATCTATAATGTGTCTTTTTGCACATTTTCACACGGCCAGGATGGGCAGGTGCACAATGCTGCTGGGTTGTTGTAATACATTGAATTCTACATGTCCACCCAAGTGATATAGGACGCTTTATAAGCTAGTTTTGCCCTAGTAATGCAGTTTCCTTAAATAATTTGCAAAGCTGTAGGTTTCATTTTTTTAACCCCCCCCCCCCAAGTCACAAACTTTACAAGTTTGCATTTGAGCAGGTAACTCTGTTCCACTTCTGTAGCACCCTGTAGTGCATCAGGTTTGCATTCCACAATTCTAATTCACTATATGTAGTATGTATTATAGCTTGTCTGGTGTGATTTAAAGTCCACATGCTCATACATACCTATATACCGGCTTTGAGACTTTATTGCATTCTTCCTTAGAATTTGTAAAAGGTAGATTCCCAGCTGTTGCAGATCTACAACTCCTGTGATACTTTGCTAGCCCAAGGCCGGCAAATCGGAGCATAGGTTGTAATTTTATACAAGATAAGGAGCAAATGGTGTGTTTTTTTATTTATTAATTTTTTTTTGTAAATTTTTGTAATTTTTTTTTTTCTTCTCCTGTTGTGTTCTTAATTTATTTATATTAAGTGGTAACAAGTTTAACTGTTTTTTTCTTTCAATACGGTAAATAAACCATGAACATTATACGAAAATCTTTCTTTTGACAGCCTGCTGTTTTTAGCGCTCATTGCTGCCCTTTTTATAGGAACAGTCAAAAAAAACATAAACACTACTGTGCTATTTGGTTGCAGGTGTTTTCCGGTGCAGTATTTAGTCAAACCATTTTTTCCCCTCCAACATATGGAGGGTAATCGCTTCTTGATCCAAATTAAATGTGACTATAATGTGTCTTTTTGCACATTTTCACACGGCCAGGATGGGCAGGTACACAATGCTGCTGGGTTGTTGAATTCTACATGTCCACCCAAGTGATATAGGACGCTTTATAAGCTAGTTTTGCCCTAGTAATGCAGTTTCCTTAAATAATTTGCAAAGCTGTAGGTTTCTTTTTTTTTTTAAAACCCCCTTTTTTTTTCCTAGTTTGTTGCAAAATTGGAAGTGCTTTGGACTGGGTGTTTTTTTTTTGTTTGTTTTTTGTTTTTTTTTTGCCGCCTTTTGGGTCAACCGCAAAAAAACAAATGTGTGGAAGGCTGAACTTGATGGACACATGTCTCTTTTCAGCCTATGTAACTATGTAACTGTTATCTGGGTTTCTCGAACACCCTTGGTCTAGCCCCACACTCAAGCTCTCCTTCCACCTTAGGTATTTTGATTTTGTCTCTATGTGGATGGAATTCATTGTTTTGAGAGCTGACTCATGGGATATGCTGGTTGCATTACTAAAGACTAGCCATAACTGGTGTAAAGGCTGCTGAGGCTCAGTTTGACGGGTTGTTAAGAGTCATTTTAATCTAGCCAGTCCCTCCAGTAACCCAAGTCTGTGACTGGTTGTTTTGGAAGGACAGGAATGAATTTTTTTTTTTTTGTCCAGTTCTGTATGTTTTTAATTCACTGCTGAGCCGTGGCGTTAAAACTATTAGGCCTTGTTTGCCCTTGTATAGAGTCCTTGCCGGAGGGATTTTGAGAGATTTGCATTTCCAAGTGGTGATTTCACATTATTTTTGCTAACTGAATTACTAATCCACCGAGATCTTAAAAGTATATGTTGTAGTTTACCATTAAGATTAACTCCTAACCCTGCTGCACATGCCACATTTGTTAGTTTGTTGTTACATGGCTTGATTGATTTTAATAGTATTTGGTCCTGACACAAACAAAAAACATAACATCTCACATTTGCCTTTGAAATGCGGGCATTAAAGGAACACTATAGCGTTGTGAATGCAACCCTAATGCCATAGTGTCTGTCCTTAGCTTTACAAAGGCTAACCCAGTGGTTAACAAACTTTTTTTTGGTTCAAGGCGCCCTTAATATTTCCGTATTTTTCCAAGGCACCCCAAGTCAAAATTTCTAGGTTGTATATCTGTACAGCGCTGCTGCATTTACTGGCGCTACAGTGTAATGTACAGTGTTGGTGTTTGAAGGGGTGCTTGTATATAGTTGTTTTACATACAGAGGTGTGTTTTGTATGTGATGTT